ATGAAAACCCAAAACCAGGAACTAGCGGCGCTGGTAATCACATTATTCTACGTGAGCCTTGACAGATTCTGGCCGTTTCATCTGTCCACGAAAATCTGTCCTCGAGATATTACTAAAAAGCTAACAAAATCACTGCACGGACTATCTGCATTGACCCTTTTTATATATTTATTTATTTTTGCACTGACTCTGTGCACACTCACAGGACTCTACACACTCACTCATACGCACTCACATCGATACTCCAACAAACACACACACACAAACACACACACACACACACCCACATGCATATACACTCACACACAATCCTCAAATACGCTGCTGCTACTCTGTTTATCAGACACAAGCAAAGAATGTACACATTTGACAGGAATGAACATGCAGTAACCCAAAGAAGAAAACGTCTGAAGCATGAACTATGTAACGTGACCTCTGCCTGTCCTCTTCCCTCCAAAAAGACAGACCACACAATCTAGTGTGCCATTGTGTCCTAGCTAAATTCCCAATCTGATAATAATGTGTTCTATTCTCAGTCAATTCACCTGGTAGAATAAGGGTTAAATAAACTAATGGTGTACACCCACCTCTAAGTTTGGATGGCAGGATGTGCCTACTGTGCAATCACCCATAAAGGGTGGCAGGTAGCCTAGCGATTAGAGAGGCGAGCCAGCAAATGGGTTGCAAGTTTGAATCCAGGGTCCGACAAGAAGTGAGCTGGCAACTGGAGGGTTACTGGTATCAAATCTTAGATGCCATTGCCTGCTGTTGTGTCCTTGAGCAAGGCACTTAACCCCCCACAACAAATGCTCCCCGGGCATCCAGTGTGGCAGCACCCCACACCGCTCCAAAAAAACTGTATGTGTGTGTCTTTCGGAGGGGTTGGGTAAAAAGCAGAAGTCAAATTTCAGTTTGGACCTTGTGTGCACTTGACCAAATAAGATATCTTAATCTTAATCTTAAAATTAATATAAACTCTAACTGAAAGCAGATAAAAAAAGATTTTGCAAAGTAAAGGAATACCTTTATTTATTTTCCTCCTATCAGAATGTACTTTACACTGACATTCAGAATGTACTTTACACTGACATTTAGTTTGATTCTTTATATAAATAGAGCATGCAATAGTTTGTTTGTGTGTAAACTAAGGTATACCGCCTCATCTTAACCTGTGCCTTTTATAATTCAGAACATATTATACATTTTACATTTTACATTTGTCATTTAGCAGACGCTCTTATCCAGAGCGACTTACAGTGCATACATTTTTTGAGTCATTATTTATGATGCAAGGTTCTTTGTAGATCAGCCAGTCGGCAGTCGCTTTGATGCTCTCGAACACCATAATTGTGACCGTTTTGCTTAGTGAAATGAATTGTGGGGGATTCAGTGCAGCTCACACAACCGTTGACAAGACAGGAGAGCGAGAGAGATACACCCTGAAGAGACAACAAAGGATTATTTCAAAACATTTCCCATTTTTGTTGCAAATCGGACAGGTTGGTTGTCTCCTTCACATTTAGATATCCTAACTCTGGGTTTTAGCCATTGTCAGAGAACCGTTTCCACCCAGATACCGTTTGATACTACAGCATTTAACACTAGCATCTTCTCTGAATAAACAGGTTGTAGATGTTGTTGTCGGTTTGTCTGGTTTCTCTCCTACAGTGTTAAAACAAACCATCCACTGACTGTCGTAATTGTTACCTAAACCAGGCAAGCTACACACAAACACTTTTCTTTGCACCGACAGACTACAAAAAGAAGCAACAACATTATCTGGTTGTTTGTGGCTGTCACACGGAGCCAAGCACAGCTGTGCAACATAGAGCCCCTGTCAATCACCAGATTCACCCGAAACTCAACCCCTGTCCATTGGCATTCCATAACTGGTTCTTCCAGGCACACAATGTCCCCAATGTAGAAACATACAGACCCCCTTTGCCTGAACAAAGATGTCATAAAGAAGACATGATAAAGCAATATTTTCTAGACCACAATCTAGAGATATTATCTCTTTTACAAGCAATGCTAAATCAGAAAGGTGCAGTCAGTCAGTCAGTCTGACTTGTTTGTTCACACAAATAAGGAGCCAGGCCAAAGAAATCCGTTTAGATAAAAGCAATTCATCTGAATGCATGAATCTGTGATGAGTGTGGTGAAAGGAGTCAGGCGCAGGAGGGTAATCACCGAATACAGACTTTATTCCTTCGTTGATACACAAATGCGCTCCAATAGCGATCAACGAAACAGCCACAGGGGAAACTATCACCCTGGCAAATACACTGTAACGGATATCCAACAATACATAGGGCACAGGGGAAAATCTACCCTGGCAACACAACGTTACAAGTAGCTCCACCGAGCTACACTACTCTCACAAATGACAATCACCCACAAGGACAAGGGGGCAGAGGGAACACTTATACATGGACTAATTAGGGGATAGGAACCAGGTGGGTGTGATTGACAAGACAAGACAATTGTGATGATGATTGGGGCGGCAGTGGTTAGTAAGCCGGTGACGACGAACGCCAAAGCCTGCCCGAACAAGGAGGAGAGGCAGCCTCGGCCGAAGTCGTGACAGAATCACTTTCCCTTTCTCTTATATGTGTTCTGCATCTTGATTTATGGCTGTGCACCACTGTGAGTAGAGCACTCTACTTTTCAAGCCTGGTATGAGTTTCTCAAGTCTCCCACAGTCATATCTGTCAACACTAACCCTCTAACACCAATGACTGCTTATGTTGTGTAACAGTGGAGGCTCCTCAGAGGAGGAAGAGGAGGACCATCGAACTCAGTGAATTTCAGAAAAATACGAAATAATTAAACATTAAAACGTCATAATTTTTAGATAAAACTATGCTAAATATATTCACGTAACCAAATACTGTACCTGATTAAAACAAACTGGTTTTGCAATGAAGGTCTACAACACCCCCTAGAGTAGCACCATGGTGTAGCCGGGGGACAGCTAGTTTCCGTCCTCCTCTGGCTACATTGACTCCACTACAAAACCTAGGAGGCTCTGGCTCCTCACCCCATTCCATTGACCTACATGGTAGCTATGATGGAGACCACCCAGAACGTCAAGTAATATTTTGTCAAGACAACCATCAATAAAGATTATGTGCTTGAATGACAATGGACTGTGTGGTTTTTTGTTTCAGAAAAATTCATGCTTTATCATAGACAGATTATATGAATATGTGAGTATGGATTTCATAGCAGATACATTTTGCGTTCTCATTTCAAATGAAATGTTTTCAAATCTACATATTTCAACCAAAACATGGTGTCCAGCTCTACAGTTGCCTCCACAAACACTCTAAATACGGTATATAACTCTGAATCTAATGCTTAAAAAACTAAGAGTTTGATTAATAGAGATAGAATTATGTAACTTGCATTCAGATTTCTACTATCAGCATTTCAAAAAAATATTGCCAAGTATTAAACTAGTACAAGTTAATGTTATAAATACTGACACATATGTTTTCTCAAGACGATAGAATTGGCCTCTTGTGCAAAAGATAACAACCTAAATGATAGTCAGATGTATGGGAGCACGCCAAATCAGATTAATCAAGTTGAAGGACACAGAAGTTACTAAACTGCTTGGAGTAACCCTGGATTGTAAACTGTCATGGTCAAAACATATTGACACAACAGTAGCTAAGATGGGGAGAAGTATCTCCATAATTAAGCGCTGCTCTGCCTTCTTAACAACACTATCAACAAGGCAGGTCCTACAGGCCCTAGTTTTGTCGCACCTAGACTACTGATCAGTAATGTGGTCAGGTGCCACAAAGAGAGACTTTGCAGTTGGCTCTAACAGGGCAGCATGGCTGGCCCTTAAAGGTACATGGAGAGCTAACGTTAATGATATGCATCTCAATCTCTCATGGCTCAAAGTGGAAAAGAGATTGACGTCATCACTACTTGTTTTTGTAAGAAGTGTTGACAATGATGAATGTACCGAGCTCCCTGTTTAAACTACTAGCACACAGCTTGGACACTCGTGCATACCTCACAAGACATGCCACCAGAGGTCTCTTCACAATCCCCAAGTCCAGAACAGACTATGGGAGGCGCACAGTACTGCATAGAGCCATGACTACATGGAACTCTATTCCACATCAGGTAACTGATGCAAGCAGTATAATCAGATTTCAAAAATAGGTAAAAATACACTTTATGGAACAGCGGGGACTGTGAAGAGACACACACAAAGGTAAGGACACACGCATACGCACACATTGTGATATTGTTGTATGGTGGTATTCAACATGATGTATTGTAGATATGTAGTGGTGTAATAATGTTATATGATGTACTGTTTTATCTTTTGTTTTATATGTAATGTAAGTGATTTAATGTGTTTGGACCCCAGGAAGAGTGGGGATCCCTAATAAATACAAAAACATAAATAAAAATACAGAAGACAGAATCATGGTGTCATCAAGTCAGAGCATCTTTATTGCATTCACATTTGGGTGTGTTGTTGGTGTTCCATCCAGATGTAGTAGAATATTTTGTTCTGGAGGTGTTAACCATAGAAATAGAATTACCAGAAATGAAATCCTCATTCAAGTCAATGTTCCATGATGGTTGTCTGAGGGGCTTTAGCCATTCTAGAAAGAATAGGAGGATGGTATGCACATCCTAAACTAGAGGTAACCTGAGATGGCATAAACAATTTCTTTTTTTAAACATTTTTAAGTCATTTAGCAGACGCTCTTATCCAGAGCAACTTACAGGAGCAATTAGTGTTAAGTGCCTTGCTCAAGGGCAAATCAACATATTTTTCACCTAGTTGGCTCGGGGAGTAGAACCAGCAACCTTTCAGTTACTGGCACAACGCTCTTAACCACTAAGCTACCTGTCACCCAAAACAACACAGACAACAAAGATAGGGATATTTCATCTGACGAAGACTTTGTATAAGTTGAAACGTGGTATTTTAGGTTGCATGAATAAAGCACTGAGGAGGAGCAATATTCCATGTGCTGGACTGTCATTTCCTATACCCATTCTAGTAATTATATTTCTATGGGGTTAACCAGTTGCTTGCTGCAGTGCTCTCTGTGTGTGTCAGACTTTATGAGGTGTGTTTGGTTTCACTTGAGGAGACAACCTTGCCGTCCACCATTTCCTCTGTGACGATCACCACCTTGCGTGTGGTGGAGGAGGAGGAGGAGGAGCTGAGGCTGGATTTCGAGGAGCTGAGGCCGGATTTCGAGGAGCTGAGGCCAAGACTGTGAGGAAGTGAAACCCATGGTTAGCATAGTTAGCAGCTATGATCTATGATCATAATACGTATCTATTAAAGGTCACATAGCTGTAGATTCATGTCAAAAGTAACCATGGCTCATACTAAGGTCAAATTCAAATGAACATTGTTTTTAAAGGCAAACGTTGAAGGAAAAATCAATTCATTTTCACTTCTTTCACCCCTCTTCCCAACCCACAAAGATGTAACACTCTCCTCCCACATCCCTGTCTGTCTTATTGGCCTCCCTCTGTCCAATCGCATCCTGCCTTACCCGCTAGCCTCTCCGTCCAGCAGCCTCCTGTACTCAGCGATCTCCATCTCCAGGCGTGTCTTGATGTCCAGCAGCATCTTGTACTCCTGGCCCTGGCGTTCCATGTCGCTGCGGAGAGACATTAGCTGCCCCTCCAGACTGGTCACTTGGCTCTGGAGGCGTCCCAGCTGCATGGAGTAACGACCCTCCGTCTCCGCCAGCGTGTTCTCCAGGGAGCCTTTCTATTTGCCGGGAGAGATAGAGATGATGGGTCAAAAACAGTGGGAGTAGGTTTGGAATTTGGAATGTTTACTGTCATACTGAAAAGGTTAGCTCTAGTAATTGAATGTGTAGACAGGTAGAGGTTAGCTATAGTAATGTAGTGGTGACTGGCTATAACAACTTGAGGGATAGTGGACGAGACCAGGTGAAAGTGAAACACTTGATAATAAATGTTTATTATTGAAGAAAGTTGCAGAAAGTGTATGTAAGTAATGTCCCCTAAAATGTGGTCCTTGGTCAGATGTTAGTAATTACGGCTCACCATGCTGAGCTGTGACTGCAGTTCGATCTCCAGGCCCTGCAGTGTGCGACGGATCTCTGAGATCTCTGACTTGGAGGTCTGGAGAACCTCTGTGCTGGACGCCACCTCCTTGTTCAACGTCTCCGTCTGTAAAACACAATAATTGGTCAGTCATCACAGGAACAAAACAACATTTCAACTCATGGTAGAATGTGACAACGTTACCAACTAGAACTAAAGGAACATCTACACCATGAATATAGTTTAGAGGTTCTAGAGGTTCTACCTTGGTCTGGAACCAGGACTCCAGGTCGCGCTGGTTCTTGGCACTAACGGCCTCGTACTGCTCACGGATCTCAGCCATGACTCTGCTCAGGTCCTCCTGTGGTGCTGCGTCCACCTCCACGTTGATCTGTCCAGTCATCTGCGTCCTCATGGCCAGCAGCTCCTGTGGAGAAACACATAGAGGTGAGTTTAAACTATTAAGAAGTGACTAACCTCTGCCTGATGGTAACAACTTGACCTGCCCTCGGTCTTCATTATAAATGTGAACACCATTGCTTGATACAGATGTGCTTGAAAGCCAGCAATGTTGTTCTAACGAAGACCCATAGCAGGTTGACATGGTCAATAGATGTAATACATTAAGGGACTGTATGGATATGTTCCATCAGCCCACACACACCTCCTCATGGTTCTTTTTGAGATAGATGAGCTCCTCCTTCAGCCCCTCGATCTGCATTTCCAGGTCAGATCTGGCCAGGGTCATCTCGTCCATCAGCCTTTTCAGCCCGGCGATGTCCGCCTCCACCGACTGACGCATGGCCAGCTCGTTCTCAAACCTGAGAGATGGAGAGAGCATAGGTCAACGAACTGCCTGAATGTGTTCCTTTGTGAGAATAGCAGGGGTTTTATAGATTCTAGTATTCCATTTAATTTTGTGAAAAACAGAAAGTAACACCAGGTATCTGATGTCTGTTGGGAGGGTGTGGTTATGGTGGCGGTGGAGGTTAATGTCATTTGGTTTCCATTTTTATAGATTCAACACAAAATAAAAATAAAAACAGTGTGAGGGTTTTTACAGATTTGGAAGTTTTCCATTTGGTTTATGGAATGCACCAGCAGTGTACTGTATATGTGGATGGTGTTGGATATACTTACTTGGTTCTGAAGTCGTCTGCAGCGAGCTTTGCGTTGTCGATGTTCAGATAGATGCCTCCGTTCAAGCAGGTGGCAGCCTGGATCTAAGAGGTGCAGGATGGCAAAACATTTCAGGATGGAGCATGCATGGAATTTCACACAAATGCAGTACGCACCAACTGTGAAACCACACTGTAATCATTGAGTTCTGAGTTTCAGCTCCACTGTAAATGATAGCTCATAGAAGCATTGCAGGGAACCTGTCGACTTTATGATCATTGTAAAGCATGACACAAAGAAACAAATTGCACCTTTCGCAATCGCCTTGGGAATGTTAAGAGAGAGGAAGGATTGGCTTCAATGATCTGCTTTATTTTCAATGCTTCAGCTGAAAATATGCATATTGTCTTTGCATCTATCTTTGGTGCAATATCTTGGTTGAATCAATTATAACAAATGCATATAATTTTGCATTTCCAATATTCATATTCATATCACTCTTAGTAACTTGTTGGAAAAACAAGCTGATGATGTGTACACCATGTACCTGTACTCTCTAACAGACATGACCATTGTTTTGACATGCTGTGATGTCATCATTGAGTGCTCTTGCCATTTAGGAGACATGTCACATACCTTGTCCTGCAGGTCGGCGATAGTAGCGTAGAAGCCAGAGTAGTCGCGAGCGCTGGGGGAGGTCTTGCTCTCCATGAACTGACGGATCTTCAGCTCCAGCTCGCTGTTGGCCGCCTCCAGCAAGCGCACCTTCTCCAAGTAGGTGGACAGGCGGTCGTTCAGGTTCTGCATTGTGGCCTTCTCGTTGGCCGACACATTAAAGTCGGCTCCACCGCCGCCACCACCACCCCCTCCCATGCCGAAACCATAACCACCGCCGCCGCCACCCCCTCCCATTCCGAAACCATAACCACCACCACCACCGCCGCCACCGGAACCGAACGAGGAGCTAGAGATGCGCACCCCAGATCCTCCTGCACCTCCATACACACTGCCGGCCCTCATGGCAGTGACACGGCCTCCTCCACCGCCACCACCACCCATCGAGGAGAAGCGGGAGGAGCCCATGCCCATACCCATTCCACCACCACCTCCAGACCTCATGGACATGGTGCCACCTCCGCCTCCACCACCACTGCTGCTGTAGGACATGCTAGATCTGGAGAAGGACATGGCTGCTGAGAGGGAGTCTGCCTGCCTGGGATGAGGAGAGAGAATGTGGTGCACGGCCCAGCCACTGTTCCCTTTTTATGCTGCACAGGGCAGAAGGAGGGAGGGAGGGTGGGAGGAGGACATGGGTGGGAGAGGCAGAAGGGAGGAATAGAGAAGGGAGGAATACAGGGAGGTATTACCTCATGTAGGACAGGGCTCCTCCACCCACTTTGACACCCTGTTGGCAGACGCTAGAATGCAGAAGGAGATGGAAGAGGATAGATAGATATTTACTTTATGTCTTGATATGCAAATATTGAAAATATACTAGTGTTGTGCAGCTCCACTCTCCCCCATCTCACTCTATATATGGCGTCTGCCTGCAGGGTGCTTGCAAGCATTCACACAAACATATAAAAGTGCACACACCCATAAACAGTTGGAATTCTTCTCCCATAACAGCGTCTTCTATTAGCCCAAGGTAGGTCAGTCAATCAGTCAACACACAGTATAACTTTGACATGCTGTGACAGGTGAGCTTTGCCATGTTTCCTGAGCATATTGATTGACACACTGAATGGCTATTTACCTGTACCTGTTATGTTACCAAGACAACAAGTTGCAAAGAAACGTCATGGTAAAATATGATATTTGGCTTGACACCCAGACAACATTTTCCCCAAACATACCTGTCTTTGTCTCACACATTGATATCTCGCAAGAAAGTGTCCTGTGCTTTCTTTCACCGCAACAGTCGACTGCAAGTTCCATCTTTATGCAAGTTCCATCTACTGTAGGAGTCTGCAGGACCGACAAACGTTGTTTTTCCTCCCTTTTACCACTTTACAGCACCCATGGGATGAGTCATTACTCCGGGCATTGTACCCCAGGAAAACTCACCCCAGATTGGATTAAAGTACAGTTATTTTCCTTTAATACCTTGGCAGGGTACTTGGCATCTGCATATTTCCAGATAAGCACAGCATTTCTTGCTGATTTTTCTGTTCACTCTCCAGAGGTTGCCATTGTAGTCCCACGTTTTGAACATTGAAAAGTTGATTTACATTTGATCAAGCCAATGCGACACGTCCTTATGTTAATGATTTGCAGTAGAAAGTATTATTGTGACATTGGTGAAGATGTTTGGAAGCACTAGAGCTAGCTAGATCCCAGTCAACATTTTGTCAACATCTAAAAGTGACATTTAACCATTGCAGTTACAGTGCCTAGTGAATGTCTACACACCCCTTGCACAGTCTTCACATTTTGCTGAGGCATGTTTTCCTCTAACATTTTACCTGGTCGTTACTCCATTCATGTTTATTTGCCTATGACAACATAAAATACGGAGGGTTTCACACGGTGTTATTTGTCAGGATCACAATAAACATGAATGGCTTAAAGACCAGGTAAAATGTTAGAGAAAACATGCCTCAGCAAAAATGTGAAGACTGTGCAAGGGGTCTGTGTCGAATTTCATAGGCACTGTAACTGGCAATGGTTAAGTCACTTTTAGATGTTGACAAATGTTGATGGGACTAGCTAGCTCTAGTGTTCCAAAAACATCTTTCACCAATGTCACAAATAATACTTCTACTGCAATCAGTAAACCTCGGACGTTGTCGCATTTTGCTTGATCAAATGTAAATCAACATTTCAATGTTCAAAACGTGGATACAATGGCAACCCTCTGGAGAGTGAACAGAAAAAAATCAGAAAGAAATGCTGTGCTTATCTGGACTATGCAGATGCAAGTACCCTGCAAGGTATTAAAGAAAAAAACGCCACATCAGTATTAATCCAACTAAAACCAACCGCGGTGAGTTTCAGAGCGGGCTCCACACATGCCGGGTAATGACTCATCCCATGGGGGTGTGTAAGTGGTACAAGGGAGGAAAAACAACGTTTGTCGGTCTGCAGACTACTACAGTAGATGGAACTGCATTAAAGGATGGAACGGGCAGTACTGTTGCGGTGCGTGAAAGAAAAGCACAGGGCACTTTCTGCGAGAGATAAGTGTTTGAGGACAAGACAGGTATGTTTGGGGAAAATGTGTCTGGGTTTGTCAGCCAAAATATCATATTTTACCATGACGTTTTCTGTGGCAACTTGTTGTCGTGGTAACTAACAGGTACAGGTAAATAGCCATTCAGTGAGTGTTTGTCAATCAATTGATAAGGAAACATGGCAAAGAACCTGTACAGCATGTCAAAGTTATACTGTGTGTTGACTTGATGAATGACCTACTTGGGCTAATAGAGACGCTGTTATGGGAGAAGAATTCCAACTGTTTAGGGGTCCTGTGTGCACTTTATTGTTGTTGTGAATGCTTGCAAGCAACCTGCAGGCAGACGCATAAATAGAGGAGTGGCGGGAGAGGAGCTGACAAAACAACGTATATTTTCAATTATTTGCATATCAAGACATAAAGTAAATATCTATTATCCTCTTCAATCTCTTCTGCATTCTAGCGTCTTCGACAACAGGGTGTTCAAAGTGGGGGAGGAGCCTGTACTACATGGGAATACCTCAGTATTCCTCCCTTCTCTATTCCTCCCTTCTGCCTCTCCCACCCATGTCCTCATCCCACCCTCCTCCTCATTCTGCCCTGTGCAGCAAAAAAGGAACAGTGGTGGCCGTGCAAACAAATTCTCTTCATCATCCCAGGCGAAGACTCATCTCAGCAGCCATGTCCTTCCAGATTCTGCATGTCCGTAAAGCAGCAGTGGTTGGTGGGCGGGAAGGTGGAACCATGTCCATGAAGGTCTTGGAGGTGGTGGTGGGAATGGGTATGGGCATGGCTCCTCCCGATTATCCTCGATGGGTGGGGGGGCGGTGGAGGAGGGCAGTGTACCAATGCAATGAGGGCCCGGCAGTGTTGGGTTGGAGGTTGCAGGCGGATCGGGTGAGATCTGCGCTCCTGTTCGGGTTCGGGGTTGGCGGAGGTGTTTGTGGTGGTGGTTATGGTTCGGAATGGGAGGGGGAGTGGCGGCGGCGGTGGGGCGGCGGGGGGTGGTTATGGTTCGGCATGGGAGGGGGGGGGTGGTGGTGGCGGCGGTGGAGACGACTTTAATGTGTCGGCCAACGAGAAGGCCACAATGCAGAACCTGAACGACCGCCTGTCCACCTACTTGGAGAAGGTGCGCTTGCTGGAGGCGGCCAACAGCGAGCTGGAGCTGAAGATCCGTCAGTTCATGGAGAGCAAGACCTCCCCCAGCGCTCGCGGACTACTCTGGCTTCTACGCTACTATCGCCCGACCTGCAGGACAAGGTATGTGACATGTCTCCTAAATGGCAAGAGCACTCAATGATGACATCACAGCATGTCAAAACAATGGTCATGTCTGTTAGAGAGTACAGGTACATGGTGTACACATCATCAGCTTGTTTTTTCCAACAAGTTACTAAGAGTGATATGAATATGAATATTGGAAATGCCAAAATTATATGCATTTGTTATAATTGATTCAACCAAGATATTGCCACCAAAGATAGATGCAAAGACAATATGCATATTTTCAGCTGAAGCATTGAAAATAAAGCAGATCATTGAAGCCAATCCTTCCTCTCTCTTAACATTCCCAAGGCGATTGCGAAAGGTGCAATTTGTTTCTTTGTGTCATGCTTTACAATGATCATAAAGTCGACAGGTTCCCTGCAATGCTTCTATGAGCTATCATTTACAGTGGAGCTGAAACTCAGAACTCAATGATTACAGTGTGGTTTCACAGTTGGTGCGTACTGCATTTGTGTGAAATTCCATGCATGCTCCATCCTGAAATGTTTTGCCATCCTGCACCTCTTAGATCCAGGCTGCCACCTGCTTGAACGGAGGGCATCTATCTGAACATCGACAACGCAAAGCTCGCTGCAGACGACTTCAGAACCAAGTAGTTATCCAACACCATCCACATATACAGTACACTGCTGGTGCATTCCATAAACCAAATGGAAAACTTCCAAATCTGTAAAAACCCTCACACTGTTTTTATTTTTATTTTGTGTTGAATCTATAAAAATGGAAACCAAATGACATTAACCTCCCACCGCCACCATAACCACACCCTCCCAACAGACATCAGATACCTGGTGTTACTTTCTGTTTTTCACAAAATTAAATGGAATACTAGAATCTATTAAAAACCCCTGCTATTCTCACAAAGGAACACATTCAGGCAGTTCGTTGACCTATGCTCTCTCCATCTCTCAGGTTTGAGAACGAGCTGGCCATGCGTCAGTCGGTGGAGGCGGACATCGCCGGGCTGAAAAGGCTGATGGACGAGATGACCCTGGCCAGATCTGACCTGGAAATGCAGATCGAGGGGCTGAAGGAGGAGCTCATCTATCTCAAAAAGAACCATGAGGAGGTGTGTGTGGGCTGATGGAACATATCCATACAGTCCCTTAATGTATTACATCTATTGACCATGTCAACCTGCTATGGGTCTTCGTTAGAACAACATTGCTGGCTTTCAAGCACATCTGTATCAAGCAATGGTGTTCACATTTATAATGAAGACCGGAGGGCAGTCAAGTTGTTACCATTCAGGCAGAGGTTAGTCACTTCTTAATAGTTTAAACCTCACCTCTATGTGTTTCTCCACAGGAGCTGCTGGCCATGAGGACGCAGATGACTGGACAGATCAACGTGGAGGTGGACGCAGCACCACAGGAGGACCTGAGCAGAGTCATGGCTGAGATCCGTGACGCAGTACGAGGCCGTTAGTGCCAAGAACCAGCGCGACCTGGAGTCCTGGTTCCAGACCAAGGTAGAACCTCTAGAACCTCTAAACTATATTCATGGTGTAGATGTTCCTTTAGTTCTAGTTGGTAACGTTGTCACATTCTACCATGAGTTGAAATGTTGTTTTGTTCCTGTGATGACTGACCAATTATTGTGTTTTACAGACGGAGACGTTGAACAAGGAGGTGGCGTCCAGCACAGAGGTTCTCCAGACCTCCAAGTCAGAGATCTCAGAGATCCGTCGCACACTGCAGGGCCTGGGAGATCGAACTGCAGTCACAGCTCAGCATGGTGAGCCGTAATTACTAACATCTGACCAAGGACCACATTTTAGGGGACATTACTTACATACACTTTCTGCAACTTTCTTCAATAATAAACATTTATTATCAAGTGTTTCACTTTCACCTGGTCTCGTCCACTATCCCTCAAGTTGTTATAGCCAGTCACCACTACATTACTATAGCTAACCTCTACCTGTCTACACATTCAATTACTAGAGCTAACCTTTTCAGTATGACAGTAAACATTCCAAATTCCAAACCTACTCCCACTGTTTTTGACCCATCATCTCTATCTCTCCCGGCAAATAGAAAGGCTCCCTGGAGAACACGCTGGCGGAGACGGAGGGTCGTTACTCCATGCAGCTGGGACGCCTCCAGAGCCAAGTGACCCAGTCTGGAGGGGCAGCTAATGTCTCTCCGCAGCGACATGGAACGCCAGGGCCAGGAGTACAAGATGCTGCTGGACATCAAGACACGCCTGGAGATGGAGATCGCTGAGTACAGGAGGCTGCTGGACGGAGAGGCTAGCGGGGTAAGGCAGGATGCGATTGGACAGAGGGAGGCCAATAAGACAGACAGGGATGTGGGAGGAGAGTGTTACATCTTTGTGGGTTGGGAAGAGGGGGGTGAAAGAAGTGAAAATGAATTGATTTTTCCTTCAACGTTTGCCTTTAAAAACAATGTTCATTTGAATTTGACCTTAGTATGAGCCATGGTTACTTTTGACATGAATTACAGCTATGTGACCTTTAATAGATACGTATTATGATCATAGATCATAGCTGCTAACTATGCTAACCATGGGTTTCACTTCCTCACAGTCTTGGCCTCAGCTCCTCGAAATCCGGCCTCAGCTCCTCGAAATCCCAGCCTCAGCTCCTCCTCCTCCTCCTCCACCACACGCAAGGTGGTGATCGTCACAGAGGAAATGGTGGACGGCAAGGTTGTCTCCTCAAGTGAAACCAAACACACCTCATAAAGTCTGACACACACAGAGAGCACTGCAGCAAGCAACTGGTTTAACCCCATAGAAATATAATTACTAGAATGGGTATAGGAAATGACAGTCCAGCACATGGAATATTGCTCCTCCTCAGTGCTTTATTCATGCAACCTAAAATACCACGTTTCAACTTATACAAAGTCTTCGTCAGATGAAATATCCCTATCTTTGTTGTCTGTTGTTGTTTTGGGTGACAGGTAGCTTAGTGGTTAAGAGCGTTGTGCCAGTAACTGAAAGGTTGCTGGTTCTACTCCCCGAGCCAACTAGGTGAAAAATATGTTGATTTGCCCTTGAGCAAGGCACTTAACACTAATTGCTCCTGTAAGTTGCTCTGGATAAGAGCGTCTGCTAAATGACTTAAAAATGTTTAAAAAAAGAAATTGTTTATGCCATCTCAGGTTACCTCTAGTTTAGGATGTGCATACCATCCTCCTATTCTTTCTAGAATGGCTAAAGCCCCTCAGACAACCATCATGGAACATTGACTTGAATGAGGATTTCATTTCTGGTAATTCTATTTCTATGGTTAACACCTCCAGAACAAAATATTCTACTACATCTGGATGGAACACCAACAACACACCCAAATGTGAATGCAATAAAGATGCTCTGACTTGATGACACCATGATTCTGTCTTCTGTATTTTTATTTATGTTTTTGTATTTATTAGGGATCCCCACTCTTCCTGGGGTCCAAACACATTAAATCACTTACATTACATATAAAACAAAAGATAAAACAGTACATCATATAACATTATTACACCACTACATATCTACAATACATCATGTTGAATACCACCATACAACAATATCACAATGTGTGCGTATGCGTGTGTCCTTACCTTTGTGTGTGTCTCTTCACAGTCCCCGCTGTTCCATAAAGTGTATTTTACCTATTTTTGAAATCTGATTATACTGCTTGCATCAGTTACCTGATGTGGAATAGAGTTCCATGTAGTCATGGCTCTATGCAGTACTGTGCGCCTCCCATAGTCTGTTCTGGACTTGGGGATTGTGAAGAGACCTCTGGTGGCATGTCTTGTGAGGTATGCACGAGTGTCCAAGCTGTGTGCTAGTAGTTTAAACAGGGAGCTCGGTACATTCATCATTGTCAACACTTCTTACAAAAAACAAGTAGTGATGACGTCAATCTCTTTTCCACTTTGAGCCATGAGAGATTGAGATGCATATCATTAACGTTAGCTCTCCATGTACCTTTAAGGGCCAGCCATGCTGCCCTGTTAGAGCCAACTGCAAAGTCTCTCTTTGTGGCACCTGACCACATTACTGATCAGTAGTCTAGGTGCGACAAAACTAGGGCCTGTAGGACCTGCCTTGTTGATAGTGTTGTTAAGAAGGCAGAGCAGCGCTTAATTATGGAGATACTTCTCCCCATCTTAGCTACTGTTGTGTCAATATGTTTTGACCATGACAGTTTACAATCCAGGGTTACTCCAAGCAGTTTAGTAACTTCTGTGTCCTTCAACTTGATTAATCTGATTTGGCGTGCTCCCATACATCTGACTATCATTTAGGTTGTTATCTTTTGCACAAGAGGCCAATTCTATCGTCTTGAGAAAAACATATGTGTCAGTATTTATAACATTAACTTGTACTAGTTTAATACTTGGCAATATTTTTTTGAAATGCTGATAGTAGAAATCTGAATGCAAGTTACATAATTCTATCTCTATTAATCAAACTCTTAGTTTTTTAAGCATTAGATTCAGAGTTATATACCGTATTTAGAGTGTTTGTGGAGGCAACTGTAGAGCTGGACACCATGTTTTGGTTGAAATATGTAGATTTGAAAACATTTCATTTGAAATGAGAACGCAAAATGTATCTGCTATGAAATCCATACTCACATATTCATATAATCTGTCTATGATAAAGCATGAATTTTTCTGAAACAAAAAACCACACAGTCCATTGTCATTCAAGCACATAATCTTTATTGATGGTTGTCTTGACAAAATATTACTTGACGTTCTGGGTGGTCTCCATCATAGCTACCATGTAGGTCAATGGAATGGGGTGAGGAGCCAGAGCCTCCTAGGTTTTGTAGTGGAGTCAATGTAGCCAGAGGAGGACGGAAACTAGCTGTCCCCCGGCTACACCATGGTGCTACTCTAGGGGGTGTTGTAGACCTTCATTGCAAAACCAGTTTGTTTTAATCAGGTACAGTATTTGGTTACGTGAATATATTTAGCATAGTTTTATCTAAAAATTATGACGTTTTAATGTT